GCATATTTCTAAGTTTCATGGGATATGACAATAATGGCCCTTTTGATACCAATGTAAATTTCATGGTTTCATTTAGAGGAATCCTTTAGGATACCACACTTTGAAGTTGTATTTTTCAAAAGTACCATCAATTTTTAAATGTTCCACAAATACTACAATTTTTCAAATGTTCCACGAGTATCACAAACACAAAATTGATTTTCAAAACTTATTAATTTAAATGTTTGGGTAACTATAGTAGAATTAGGGTATAGTTTTTAGGGAGTAGGATTTGGATTTAGGGTTTTAGAGTTTAGTATTGAATGTTGAAAGTTAATTTTAGTTTTTTTTTTTTAAATATTTTGTGACTTAAAATTTAAAGATATTGCATAAAGGCCATTATGAAAAATGCCACAGAACATACTAGATACCGGGGGCGAACCTCCACGACTATCTCTCTTAAGAAAACTTCTTTCTTGGTCTTTTGAGTTTATTCTGTCCTATAGGACCACTCAGCTTTAAAACCTTATGTACTTGCTTAAATTTAAGAACCTTAATTGCATGAAAGACACATTTTATCAAAACAGGAATTGACGTTGGTAAGCAATATTCTTAAAATTTAAAGTTATTTCATGCAATTATATATTTTAATTGTTTATTAAAATTTTTTATATATTTTAATAATAATAAATCTTACACAGTTTCACTAGTTTACTAAAATATAATATATTTTTTACTTATCACATCTTTTTTGGGACAGAATGCTCGTTCATATATTTTGTCGTTGTTGCTTATTTTTCTTGAATATTTTTTACTTATCATTTCTCTATATATTTCTATGACATATAGAACTCGTTAGTTGCTTCTGTATGTTAATCTTCCAATAAAAGAAAGTGATTGAATTTCAATTCATCGGCATATATCACACTTAAGAAAATATTAATTTGGTAAAATAGTCTTTCTTCACAAAAGCTACATTTGATGTACAAATGATATTTTGCGATATGAATAAAATTTGACGTTAAATTAAAAAAAGAAGAAGATAAAATGCATCTTATCTTTACATATATAATTAAAAATTTAAGTTAAAAATTGGTTTTCTTTAATGATATAAGTTAGCTGATATGCACAATTTCATTCATATATTCCAAAACTCTGAATTAAGTTTTAATGTATTACTCCTTACCCAAAAGAAAATTTTAGTATTATGTTATGGAAAACTAAAACTTTTCAAATCTCTTTGGTAAGAATAGTCAAGAAAAGGCTAAGTAGAGAAATGAGAGAAGAGTAAACGTGCTACTATATTTTTAAACATCATTTTACCTGTTACCAACTAAGTCCACACTTCCAAGCACGACCAGATCATTTTCACCGTTGTTGCAATGTTAATTAGCTTTGGATCGACTTGTGAGTTGTACGTTTTATAATTTTCTTAGGAAGACTCCTGCCTCATTCTTGGACCCGGAAATTAATTAATTATTGTCTTCGTAAAAGAAAAGAGACTTATTAGTCATTGGCTATGTGTATAAATACCCCACCCCCTTTGTTGTTCTACTCACTCACACATCCATTCTTACAAGACCTCAAAACAAACATCACTACGGTCTAAAAATATAACAGCTCAGGAGTATCTCTCTTCTTTGCTTTCATAACCTCTTTTAATCGATCATTAAAATGGCGCCGGCAATGACAGCAACACAGGTGGTTCCATCGACTGGATCTATTCCGAAACAAGAGGAAGAGTGGCGTGCAATTTTGTCTCCTGAGCAATTTAGAATTCTCAGACAAAAGGGAACAGAGTAAGCAACATCTTCATAAATTATTCTTTTTACTACCATAACAATTTACAAAGATCGGTATTAGTTAGTCCAAAAAAAGACCACCTTAACATGTTGTTCACTTCGTTAACTCGCTCTTCCTTCGGATTCTATTCTCCCCTATAACTTTTTCATATTTGGTAATTTTGTCATGGTATTTGTGCTTGATGGATTTGGATAAGTCATGATTGTTTGTAATGGTTTTGATATATAGAAACCGAGGAAAAGGAGAATATACAAAATTGTTTGACGAAGGAACCTATTCTTGTGTTGGTTGTGCAACTCCTCTTTATAAGTCCACCACCAAGTTCGACTCTGGCTGTGGCTGGCCTTCCTTCTTCGATGCTGTTCCCGGTGCCATTAAACAAACGGTAC